ATTTTTCTGAAAATGTGGTGTCTATTTACTTGTGACCACGCTGTGTATATCGGCTTGTTCTTAACTAGATCCAAAGTATAATTTAACTACTAAATTTAAAGTATCATTCAACTCAATTTCAGACCATTTGAATTCTAATACATAGCATAATAAATTGGGGCTCGTGTCCGAGATCTGAATCAGAGACAAAATTCGATCTAAATTAAAATTTAAATCACAATTGAATTTATATTTATCAGTGCCAACAAGATTTGATCATGTCTGATCATCAAGATTTTCTTGTATCATCCTCCCTAGAACAACTAGAAAAATATAACAAAAATGAATTGCTCGAAATTGTCAAAGTTTTGGAACTAGAAGCTAAAAGATCAATGAAAAAAATGAACTAAAAAACATATTATCGAAATACTAGTCGATGATGATTTGCTGCCTGAGGAAGCATTAGAAGAATATTCTAGTGTCCCCACTAGCCAATCGGGGTTGAGTGATAAAGATAAAATTGGGGTCCAGCTAAAATGGAAACAACTCAAGCTTGAACAGGCACGAATCGAAGCCAAGAAAGAAAAAGAACAAGTTCGAATCGAAGCCGAGAATAAACAAGCTCGTATTGAAGATGAAAGAGAAAATAAACATCTAGAGGCCGAAAAAGCTCGCACTGAAGCCGAAAAAGAAATTAGGCTGAAAACAATGGGAATTACACTCAACACTAATCGATCAAGGCAAAATGACAACTTTGAACTTAATCAGTATGTTAAAGTACCACCATTTAATAAAAATGAAGTTGATAAACATTTCCAACATTTTGAGAAGGTTGCTCAAACCATGGAATGACCAAGTGAAAAATGGTCATTATTATTAAAAAGTGTCTTAAATCTTTCGACAAGGGGTCGGTCAATTTGACTCACGTGACCTTCTGTACTCGTTGAAAGTTGACACAAACTTAATACTTAGAACTCTCTATATATTGGATATATCTTCACGAAATCTGGCAGTCTTTCAGTTAATATTACAAGTATTTCACATACAAAAAGTCATATTTCTTAGTGAAGTATTTCTAATAAAATAAAATAAAGTTTTGACCATGAATATATTGAGTATTTGTTTGGAATAGTCCGTGTGCAAAGTAATTTTCATGTTAAAATTAAAAATACTTTTCGTCATCTCAAAATTCCTTTGTATAATCCCTAAAACCTCGTACATGCATTTCAAACTTTTTTCACTAAATCCTTATAGGTTTTATGTTATTTTCTTTACCCTATCTCCAAACGAGATTAGTCAATTCAACCGACCTCGTAACCACAAAAAATATCGAAATTAATCTTCTTTTCTTTCTAGAATGACTTCAAATTGTAACCTGAAACTACACTCGTTTATCCTATGTAGCTCTTAGTTCGTTACATTATACATCTATTTATAATTAAATTTTATTGTTTATTGCCCTTTGAACAGTGTCTAACTGCTATCCCCCCCCCCCATTATAAGTTGTAAATCACTCTGCAAAAGTGCAGCTCACGTTACACTATCAAATTACAATTCCCACCAGCTGCTGAAGTACGTGCCTCGTGACCCATTTTAGTTAATTATTATTATTATTTATTTTACCAATCTAGTCTTAAATAATTTAAAAAGATACGTACTTTTAATTCTAGTTACTTTTATAATGATAAATATGAAAAACAAGAAATAAAGTACTTATCCAATCTTTTTTTTTTCTTTGCCTTCAATTGTGGGGAGAGTTAAGCCTGATTTGTTTTAGTGATTATAGTAAAGCAGTAAACAATTTTTATTTAATTAAATAATACACCTAACAATATAGACTAATAACATGCAAAAAGTAGACAAATTCACTTACTTCTAAAAATGTTCCTGGCTTTCTAACTATGCGACATAAGCCGTTACAAATTCATCCAAGCTTGTAGTAAACTTTCCCACGTGAACGATTTCGCTACTGCGAGTAAAATTGACCATTATCAGTTCAGAACACAACGTTATACAATACTCCATTTGACTGATGAAATCCTTGACTTTCTATTGGTTATAGATAACATATATATATATATATATATAATGAAACGTAAGAGAGAACTATCAACGAATTGTGAAAGAGAGGATGTGACAGGTGGGTGTGGCAGGAGGGTTCTGATTTTCTATTCGATAGCTCTGTAACCAAACAAATTTGAAGGCTATAAAAATTATGGTTTGTCTGAGCAAGAAGGATTTTATGGAATAATTTATGCTTAATTTTGTACTTTTTTGATGGGTGGTGGATAAAATAGGGATGATGACATGCTAAGAGAAAATGTGGAAATTCAGAATTTGTTTTTAATATTGCCATGTAGAATTAAGAAATTAAACTCATATATTATTAAAATATGAATTATTAGCTAAGATTTTATGCTATTCTAATTGGTATAACATAAACAAAAAGTAGTTTAATAAAATTTCGAATGTAAGATACTAAAGTCTTGTGTCATGTGCAGTAAAAGATACCTCTGGCGATAGGGTTAATAGCATCCTTTGGGTTGTGAATTTTACAAAATTTTGTTGTGATTTTCATCTTAGAAATCCAATTTTTAAGCATTGCTAAAAAATTCCATTATATATCCAATTAGTTTCAACGTGATTGATAGTCATCAATGCATATATTTTGATACCCTATTTTGCTGATTCCAGTAGTCATCATTTCTGGCTATTGGTCAAGATCAATTTATATCTAATGAAATAAACATATCAGTAACATTCAATAAATAAGGATTTGAGTAATCAGAAAATTTTGCCATTGTCTATCACATTTGCTAAACTAACTAATTTTTACTTGAAGAGTCATAATAGAAGAAACTTTCTATGGCTTTCAAAGATATATAATTCAACATGAAAACATCTTCAGGAATGAAAACACTTCTGAAGAGACGATAAAAAAATCACAGATCTGTAGTTTGTTCCCAAGTCTAAACTTCCCATTAAATTACCCCTAAAGAAGTTCCATGAAGTTAGTATCTCAAGAACCCATAAATTACTACTCAAACCAGTCTATTTACTCCACTTTGACACATACATCATTCATAATTTGCTTCATCGAATTGTATTTAACCATTGACTCAAACTATTTTCAAAGCTTGGCTTCATTAGTAAATTTTCAAACCATAAGCTGTGACATCATAAAGGGGTGGGCAATGAAGATTTTTGGTAATAAAACCATTAAGAGATCACAAGAAACAAATCATAATACCTATATAAGTCTATACTTTAGGATAGGAAGAGATCTTCTAAAAAAATAAAATCAGTAAATATTTACAGGAAAGACCCATCAGAGCTGCATAGAAATGAAAGTTGTTAGTCCTTTTTTTATATTCAGATCACATTAACTAAATGTTGAATAATGACAAAATATCAAATTCTAAAATATTTTTTGAGATAAAAATTGTTGAAATTGTTATTTCTTTTATTTAAATTTTGAATTTTTTTATGGAGATATGCACTTGACATTTGAGAGGTGCTCTGTCATCCAAACAGGATTAAAAGATAAAAATATAACTATGAATGCCATTTGAAGTACGCCAAATACGAAAAGCAAATTTACCAACACTACTGAAGCGGGATAAAAAATAAGTTTAAATCTTCATCAAACCTTTATCACACAAATAGGTTATTAAAATATTTAACAAATCCTGAGCTTGGAAGTGCATGCCTTAAGGCATGTAGAAACTTTAAAATCAAACAAGCTATCTAGGTTGAACCAGATTAAAAAATTCCCAACACACAAATCTAGAAAATTATACATTCAAAGAAAATATCTCACCTTGCTGTTGGCAAAAAGTAAGCCTACTCCCTCCATACAAACTTGTAGCAGCCCATCTTCACCTGTCCTCATGTCCTGAACAGGGAATTCTCCACCTAATTCTGTACCTGAGAAGTGCACACAAAAGGGAAAATATTTTCAGTTAATGAACTAAATGATATGGTCTGACTCACAAAAACTGTATATCTACATAAAACAAAGAAACACATTCTAAATTTATGTCTTTTGAAATAGTTGAAAGAATCTTAATTTTCTTTATTCTTAAAGTAAAAACACTGAAAAAAGATTTCATAGATTATTAAAAATAAATTGTACCTATGATATAATTTTCAAGAAATATTTTCTATTACTGAAATGACAATCACACTAAAGTTTTCACATTTCACAAGACACAATTATGAAAAACAGATGGATGTAAGGTTAACTTCTGATCTCTCAGTGACATTAAAAAATTGCAAGACAAAATATTTCTATGATCAGTAGAAGATACAATTTTCTAATCCTTTCACAAATTTTATCGAAATCAACTATATCTAACATTAATTTGTTTCTATAATAGAGCATAAAGTACAGATGGTTGAGTGTGTTATACTTAAACAATTCTGAATATGCAAATCAGCAAGTCATATGTGACAACCACAGCTGATATCAAGTAGTGGTGGAACAACAAGATCATAACTACATTTTGACATTACATGGCATTTTGTAGGTTGTGTGATGCCATCAAAAACTGATTAGTTTTGTGAAGAGTATACAACAGCCTTTTCCAAAGCAAATTATTCACACATTCAGATTATAAGAATGTTTTCAGGTTGGGGATTTAGAATTTCCAAGATAGGAGATGTACTTTGTACTTAATGGCATTGACAAACAAATGAATACTGTCTAATCTGGAGCATCAGGACCATCCAAAAAGAGACCTACAACAAGTTATACTCCAGACATGGTAAGAAAAGTGCAGCAACAGTATGCAACATAATCAAGAAAGATTCCCTCTGGAAAAGTGACCCAACTCACATGTACACAAGTTTCTTCCAAGACACATCCATTCAGCTGTTGCATACCTTAAACAACTGAAGAATGAAATGGATATTCATGGAATTCCATAAAAATACTTGCCAGTCAAGTTGTCAGAAGCATCACCTATGAATTTCTGTGTGAAGGGACAGTTGAAATAGCTACTGAGAAATTGCCATCTTTTTACACTGAATGGATGTGTTTTGAACACAACAGCCTTTTGCAATGGAAATCACATTGCAGGGCTATGGTCAAGATGAAGAGAGTCATCAGATAGAGTGTTTTGAACACGACAGCCTTTATGATAAAGCCTTTTGCAATGGAAATCACATTGTAGGGCTATGGTCAAGATGAAGAGAGTCATCAGATAGAGCATGACCAGACATAGTAACACTGGGTGTAACTACATAGTGAAACTGCAAAATCATTTTAATATAACATACTCAACTCCTCTATTACATATCTATATATTGTATGTTCAAATATAAACTGGTACAGCTATAGAACAAATGTTTTTACAACAAAACTAATGTTGTGCAATACAATGAGCAAGAAAAGAGAATAACGGGTCATATTACCAGATAAAATACCTGTACCTCCAGCAACTGCCCTTTCCATGGCTTCTTTGATGCAGTAATACAGTTCTTTGCACTGGATAAGTAATCAAACAAATGACAAAAATCACTTTACCATGAATTTAATATTTTCTCAATATAGGAATCCTACAATAAATATAGGTGCAGTATTATTAACATTAACTTCCTCAATATGGGCCTGGTCGATTTGACAGACCACATCACCTAATTGTACTTGTTTAAAGATTTGATACTACTAACTTTTAATATAATGTGTATATCTTCACAAAATTTGGCAGTCTTTCAGTTTATATTATAAGTCTTTCTTATACACAAAATCATATTTTAAGTGAAGTATCTTAAATAAACCAAAAAAACAGTTGTCCATGAACATATCGGTTATTTCAATACTATTTGTTTTGAATAGTCTGAGAGCAAAGTGATTTTCATATTAAGATTAAAAATACTTTTCTTCATCTCAAAAATCTCAAATTTTATTTGCATAATCTCTAAAACCTCTTAAATATATTTGAAATGTTTGTTTTCAGTGAAATTTTATATTTTACCTTTTATTTTCTGTACGCTAACTCGTAAAACTTGACTGATCTCGTAACCACCAAAAACAAATTGAAATAAGTCTAAATTACCTTCTTTTTCTTTCTAAAATGATTTCAAATTGTAACATTAAACTACATTCGTTTATTCTAAGTAGCTCTAAGTTCGTAAGTTTGTTTTATTTAGAACCGTATCTAACTACTACTTGTGCCATTATAAGTTGAAAATCACTTGGGGAATGTGCAGCGCACATTACGCTATCCAATTATGTTACCCATGAGCTGCTCACGTGCATGCCTCATGAAAATATGTTATTGTATTATTATTTATTTTATCTAATCTAACGTTAACTAACCTAGAGTTTCCTATTTTTACCTTTTAGTTAATTTTAGAATAATAAATACAGAATAAACATAAAAAACAAGAAATAAAGTACTTACCCGAGTATTCTTTTTTTCAAGTGTCGACTGTCGATGACACTTAAACCTACTTTATTTTTTAATACTAATGGTAGTAATGCACTAAAAATTTCTATTTAATTAAATAATGCACCAAAGATCACAGGATAATAACATACAAAAAGTAGACAATTTCCTCTAACTATCACAATTTTTCAGACTTTCTAACTATGCGACAAGAGCCATTACGAATTCATCCAAGCTATTTGTTATCTATCCCATAGGAACAAAGCTTGTACTAAAAGTGAACTTGACAATTCTCTGTTCAAAACATAATGTAATATGATACGTCACTTGATAGATGAAAACCTTTATATTTTATGTTATATATAATATAGAATTAAATGTAACAGAGAGCTATTAACAAATCGTGAAAGAGAGGGTGTGACAGTTGGTTGTGGCAAGAGGTGTCTGACTTTCTATTTGATGGCTCTTTAACCAAACAAAATTGAAGGCTATAAAAATTATGGTTTGTCTGAGCAATGACGAATTTATAGTGAGTAATTTATGTTTAATTTCATACTTATTGGAGGGGTGGTGAATAAAATAAAGATGCCTACAGAAAATGTGTCATGCGTCACACTAGGGGAAATTCAGGATTTTTGATAATATTGCCTCATAAAATTAAGAACTTAAAACATATATATTATTAAAATATAGATTATTCGTTAAAAATTTATGCTATACTAATTGGTATAACATAAATAAAAAGTAGTTGAATAAAATTTTGAATGTAAGTCACTAAAACTTCGTGACATGTGTAGTAAATGATGCCCAGGTAGATAGGGTTAATAGTTGACATCAGACTTCTTATAAGATAGCAAATTCAAACCATCCAAAAGTTACTATTCACAAAAAATAACTGTACAGAAAGGAGTATGAAAAATGGCACTTTCTCAAAAATTGTTGGTGGACAGTATCCACCTGCATCCATTCTTGAATCTAAACAGTGCATGTAATTCCAAAAATTGAAATGATCTAATATCACTATATTTCTCTGAAAAACAATCAGTTTTGAAACATCACAGACTCTGAAACCAATGAAAAAAACTGTTAGGTTTTAATGAATTAATGTAAGTAACACAAACTGTTTTTGCTTTGATTAAATAAGTAATTATGAAAAAAATATTTTATACACATTAAACATTTAAACAACAAAACACGCTTAACACACTTTTTATTTTACATAGTGCTCTCTGCACATTCCCCAGAGAAAATTAAGGCCAGCTTTGTAGTATTAATAGTTTTATCATCTCAGGTTTATATTTTCCCTATTCAGAGATAAGATAATATTTTTGAAATTGACTGTATTCTTTCTTTCAAGCAAACTTATGGTAGTATTTTAGCCCTATGTATATGAGCTCGGTCATTTTGACCAGTCTTGTAACCATAAAACTATAAATATTATAAATTTATAATTACTAACTGCTAAAATGAATACCAAGTTTTTGTTAGGAAAAGTTTATATTTTATCTGTTATTTTCTCTACCCTAACACTAACGGTAGCTAAATCATCAATGTACAGTAAACTGAAATTTTTTTAAATTATGAAATAAAGTAAGAAATACTTTTATTCTTCTTCGAAGACATCATTTTGGGAAACTGTTGACCATCTAATATATTCACAGTTTCAAATGTTTACCTTTTCACATATAGCTTATTTTAATTTCATAGCTTTATTGCCTGGCTTCTAAGATGTACAGTTTACTTATCAAAATAGTATTGGTTCTTTCAAACCAACAGTGGAGCTCTCCTGATATAGTTAGGACAGTTATTGAGCATTTCATCAATGATTGAAAGGGCTTAGTAGCTCTTGCTTTCTGAGCCTCCAGGTGGTGATGAACAATACAGTGCATTGAACTACACTGTACATTTGTCATTCATGTAATAGATTCTTGTACACCTAAGTAAAGCATGGTGAAATTGTTCAATTGGACATTTACTGAACTAGACCTAGTTTCTTTTCCCAAGTTTGTTGCTAAAACAATAATTCACATACTTACCAAATATGCAATTTATAACATAAATAATACACAAATTACTAAAATAAAATGTCCAATAACAACTACAATTGAACTGCCTTTTTAACTAAATTATAAGTAAGTTAAAAATGCATTGATATATGAACATACGGAGAAGTTAAGATCATTGAAACTACATTTGACTTTCTCATTATCTACAGAAATTGTAGATACTATATTACTGAAGTTATACAAATTAAAGAAAGATAATTTTTTTTTCTAATATTTTCTTTAGAAATAAAAACTTTTCATTATAAACACAAGCTGATACTAATTTTATTGTCATATGTTGATTGATAGTAAAGTTATTTAAACCTGAATGTAACTCTGCAAACATCATTAAATGTGCAAAAGAGTCAAGTCCGTCTAAGCAGAGTTGATACAAGTAATGCTATTTTTTAGGGCTTACCTTTTTTGTATGATACCTATGCAATTGTGTTTGTCCACCATTCCTTCTCCATAAACAAAGAACTTTATTTTTAGGACTGTATGTCATGTTAACCAGACGTTCATACCACCATCGTTCTACAATGGTACCAATCACACTTCGAAGAATTATTCCATCATCTCGAACCTATTAGATGATTCATCATTTGAGTAAAATTATTCTAACTATTATATGAAGTTAACAGTAAAAAACAAACAATAAATGGTGTTTTACAGAACTTCTGGATTGAATTCAATAAGAGGCAGAACATTGTGTTATTACTTTTGATTTTATCCATTTCATTAAAAATATCAGTGTGTGCACTTGATGACAGATTTCCATTTTCTTTATAGTTTAATATATAAGCCAACACAATATAATGATATTAAATGAATTACTTAATCAGTAAAAGATACAACAAAAATAATGATTACTTGCTACATATTTTTTAAAATTTATTTGTCTAGTCATTTGCACATTATCCCTTTTAATCTCCTTCACACCTGAAGTTTCTTTTGAAGCTTCACTTTTTTGTTAGTCCATATATAGATAGCTTCAAATTACTTTTACTTACAGTTAGACTGATTTGAGAACTCAATTTCAATGCTTTTAAAATCAACTTCACCTTACTGTGAGGAAATAATAGAACATAAATCTTTTGCATTTCGTTACACATAAGAAATAAGAGTTAAAATAAAAACTTTTGACTGGACATACCTCCATGAAAAGCATATCTCCCGTAGCATCCATGCCTGAGTGTACTGTAAATGATTGCCGATACATCTGCCGACTACCCAGTGGTTTAAGGTCTATGTCATTTCCACTCTGTGAAACAGTTAATTACCTTTATGACTCCTGAACAAATCCAAAACATAAATGTGTCAATATAACTTCCTTAAAAAAAAAAGTAGTACTGTTTGAAATATCTATTCATTTCACCATCTTGAAAATAAATTCTGAAATTAAATTAGTTTATCAATCCTCATTTTATGAATTGCATATAATATTACTCTTGACAATTACCACCAATGAAATGGCACTTACAAATTATAAATAGTAATCCTAAGACTATTGGCATTATCTGCACTACTATTATTTACCAGGTTTTCAATCTGGTCAAGAAGTTCATTAATTTCTGCACTGTACACCAAACTAATGTGACATTTTCCTAGAAGACGGCGAACTTTCCTCCGGATGGACATTTTGTTAACTGCCATCATAACCATGAAGGCTACCAAGTTATATAACATTGTTGATAACAATCTATCTTCATCATGTTCAAGTCGTTTCCTATCCATTTCAGATAAAGAATTATATCTGTCAATAAAACAAACAAAAATTAAATCTGCTATAAAGAAAAACTTTTACTTAAGTAAAACTATACACTATAAGTAAAATACAATCTTTGTATACGCACATGTAAAAACATATTTACACATATTTAAAGACATAGTCTGTACAGAAAGATTATTGAAAATAAAGTTTAGACAAAGAAACATTAAAAAAACTAATTTATTGTAGGTTCAAAAATTGCATTCTGATAAATTAATCTCACATATATACTATGATGAAACTTTGAGATATTTGTGTCCCAAAACAAATATACAAAAATTCTATGATACATGCATACAAGCAATATGGTGCTTATGCAATAAAACAAATGTATAAACAAATTGTATATACTTTAGAAAACTCACAATATAGAAATTTAACTATTAATAGCTAAAACACTCACAAGTAAAGACATTACACTCCATACTTATCTAAATAAACCATAAGAAACACAAAACAACTTAATGTCTAAGCAGAATGTGGATAAATATACTAGTATCATTGAGCAAAAACCTAATTTTACTCATATATTTTAACTCTCAGTCAATTTGACCAACTACACGATCTCTTTGTACTAATTTAAAGTCTTTATAGTTTTGATACTAACTTTTAAAACAGTATGTTTATCTTCACAAAATTTGGCAGATTTTCAGTAAACATTGTAAGTCTTTCATATACAAAAAATCATATTTTTAGTGAAGTATTTTTTAATAAATTAGAAAAAAATTTGTCTGTGAATATATAGAGTATTTGTTTTTAGTAGTCCACATGCAAAGTGCTTTTCATTTTAAGATCAAAAATACTTTTCTTCATCTCAAAAATCTCAAATTTCATTTGCTTAATCTCTAAAACCTCTTAAATACATTTCAAATGTTTGTTTTCAGTAAAACTTTGTATTTTATGTGTAATTTTCTCTACCCTAACTCCATACAAGATTGGTCAATTTGACCAACCTCGTAACCAAAAACAAAAAAATCTAAATTACCCTTTCTAGAATGACTTCAACTTGTAACATGAAACTAAATTTGTTAATCCTAAGTAGCTTTAAACTCATAACAGTATACATGTATATAATCAAATTTTGTTTTATTGTACTTTGAACCATGTATAACTACTATTTGTTCCATTATAAGTTGTAAATCACTTGGGGAACATGTAGCTCACATTATGCTCTCGAATTACCTTGCCCATGAGCTAATCCTAGCTGCTCGAGTGCATGCCTTGTGAAATGTTTTTATTATGTTACTGTTATTATTTATTTTACCTAATCTAACCTTAACTAACCTAAAGTAATCCCTATTTTTACATTTTAGTTACTTTTATGATAATATATAGATAAGGAATAAACATGAAAAACAAGAAATAAAGTACTTACATGGGTCTTCTTTGTTTTGCTGTCGACTGTCGATGACACTTAACTTTACTTGTTTTTTTTATACTAATGGTATTAATGCACTAAATAATTTTTATGTAATTAAATAATGCACTAAATAATTTTTATGTAATTAAATAATGTACTAAATAATTTTTATGTAATTAAATAATGCACCAAATAACATGAAATACTAACTTGCAAAAAGCTGACAATTTCCCAAACTATCAATTTTTCTGGCTTTCTAATTATGCGACAATAGCCATTACAAGTTCATCCAAGTTAGTTGTTATCTTTCCCATGGGAACGAAGCTTGTACTAACAGAGAAAATGACAATTGTCTGTTCAGAAAACAATGAATATAATAAGTCATTTGATAGATGAAAATCTTGACTTCGTATTGTTTATACATAATACAGTATTAAGATTAAGAGAACTATTAACAAATCCTGAAAGAGAGGATGTGGGTGTGGCAAGGAGGGTCTGATATTCTATTTGATGGCTCTGTAATCAAACAAGATTGAAGACTATAACAATTATGGTTTGTCTGAGCAATGACGATTTTGTAGTGATTAACTTGCACTAAATTTCATACATATTGGAGGGGTGGTGAATAAAATATAGAAGAGGGGACGCTTAGAGAAAATATGTCACATTTCTCACACTAGGTGAAGTTCAGAATTTCGTTTAATATTGACTCATAAAATTAAGAACTTAAAACTTATATATATTATCAAAATATGGATTATTAGCTACGAATTTATGCTATACTAATTGTATAACATAAACAAAAAATACTTTAATTAAGTTTTGAATGTTAGTCACTACAACCTTGTGTTTGTTTGTAATTAAGCACAAAGCCACACAACGGGCTATCTGTGCTCTGCCCACCATGGGTATCGGAAACCGGGT